TGTGTGTGTAAGCGCTAGGCTGGTGGGTATGGTTATATGACTGCAGGCACTGTGTTGTGTTGAGGGGTACTGTGGTCATGGGGTGTGTGCATGACTAGGCTCTAGGCAGCTCTAGGGAGGTGTGTGTGTGTAAACTGCAGGTTGGTGTATGTGTGTGTATAAGCTGTAGATTGCATGTGTAAACTGTGGGCTGACTTGTGTTTGTAAACAGTAGGTTGGTGTTTGTGTGTAAGCTCTAGGCTGCTGTGTATGTGTGTAAATTGTAGGCTGTGTGTGTAAACTGTAGCTTGGTGTGTGTGTATAAGCACTACTTTGGTGTATGTGTAAACTTTAGGCTGGTGTGTGTGTGTGTGTGTGTGTGTGTGTGTGTGAAAGAGAGAGAGAGCAAGCTCTAGTGCAGTGTTTCTCAACCAGTGGTAGGAGTAGGGGTACTCAAGAGAAGTCTGGGGGGACGTCAGCACAACTGAAATGTGGAGAAAACTGAATTTTTGTTTTAAGTTTTACAGCGCTTGATCATTTTTGTACTTTTTGCACCCCAAAATGTAATTGTCCGTCTGCTACGATGAAGTTGTTTAAACAAACCTGTCGCAATAGTAGAAAAAAAAAGTGTGTGTCTGAAAACTGTAGGTATTGGGGGTACTCATAATTTTTTTTAAAAAGCGGTACTTTTTAAAAAAGGTTGAGAAACACTGCTCTAGTGTGCATGTGTGTGTAAGCTTTAGGCTGCTGTGTGTGCGCCGATGAGAGACAGAGCGCCCCGGGCTGCTGTGCGCGCGTGCACGTGAGCGCGCGGCCGGCTGATGTAGCAGCCGCGGGAGGTGGAGCAGCGCAGCCAGGGGATGAATCCCTGCATCCTCTCCTCATTGCTGTCACAGCGGGAGAAGCCGCGAGACCGGGAGCTGGAACCCGCTGCGCCTCTGACGGGCAGCCGAGTCCCTCTGCTCCTGCAGGCGGGGCAGTGCGATCGGGATCGGAGCATCTCCCTCCAGCTGCAGTGGGGTAGGGACAGCGAGAAGGCTGCAGGAGAGCGGGGGCCCAAACAGGGGCATCTCCAGCCATTTGCAGTAGGGCAGGGCGGGGAGAGGGGGCACAGCAGCAATCTGCAGTGGGGCAGGAATCGGGGACATCTCGAGGCGGTGCAATGGGGTAGGGTCCGAGGCAATTCTAGGCGGTGCCTTAAAATGGGGATCGGGTCCATTCCAGGCGGTGCAGTGGGGCAAGAATCGGGCCCATTCCAGGCGGTGCAGTGGGGCAAGGATCGGGCCCATTCCAGGCGGTGCAATGGGGCAGGAATCAGGGAATCTTCAGTCCCGCTGCAGAAAGCGGAGCATCTCCCGGAGGGACAGCGGGGGGGCCCAGCGGGACAGGGCTCCAGGGA